AATTGTCAATTACCCAATTTAAAAACGTTTTAGATTAGTATTATAAAAATGTATTGTGGGTCAGACAAAAATCTATTGACTTTTGGACCATGGGTCATATGAACTTTTTGACTTGTTTTGCCAATAATGATATCATAACCTTTACACCTGCATTGCTCATCTTTTCTACTTCCTTCACTAGCATTGTTACTATTACGTTGCTTGTTGGATTATTTCGAAGACCTCATTTCCGGAAACAAGAAACATCCAGTATCACAATGTTATCGTGCTCTTCGCCCCTACCCAAAACATCAGTCGCCGACAGCTCCGTATATTTAGTTTTTAGGTTGTCCGCCCAGTTTGGGAGTTCCGTCGCTGTACTTCCGACACCGCATCAGATTCTCCGTACTCGGTACGTAAATGGAAGTTGCGGTAGTTTGCCGACTGTCGACGGAACGGAGTTCTATCTAGAGACAAATTAGTTCAGACCGTTTCGATTGGCCCGCCTGCGGCACAAACACATGCGGGTAGACAAATAAACCGATGCCCTCAAACAGGAAGGTATCATTCCGGATCTTGATTAAACGTCTGGCTTCAGTGATATCAAACCACGAAAATTTTAGGTACATATCAAGCCAAGCTTATTAAGCTGCCCCTATTGACACGTTGCGTACGACAAGTCTTTTAAGTTTTGCATATGGAAATAAAACAACACGACGGTAGTTTTTAAAGCATCCCACAAACCGGCGCGAAATAATCGCGGCGAAGTATTCGCAAAACGAAATTCGCAATCTGTTTCGCCTGTTTATTCATACCAAAGCGTCTTATTCGCTCCGCGAACGTGAAGGTTTCGACAGGTTGCGTACATTTTATTTTTGCCTTTTGCAATGAGCTCGTCTTCAGAAGAAGAGGAGGCACTTCTATTTCTTGCTTTAGAAGAGGAACAAAATGCACGCCATTTGATAGTTGGGTATGTATTAAGTTTAACGAAGTACATAAAACAAATATTTTCAATTTTGTTTAGGAAACGAAGGAAGTGGGTACATGATATTAACTTGGAACGAAATAAATTTGGGGAATACCATACCTTGATGCCACAACTTCGGCTGGATGAACAGCGCTTTTACGTATATTTTAGAATGACTCCAGAGTGTTTCGATGAAATATTGAACTTGGTGAAAGATGAAATACGAAAATCTGACACAAATTATCGTGAAGCTATTTCGCCAGAAGAACGACTTGCTATTACACTCAGGTAAAAAATTAATGTATTAAAATTAGTAGGCTTATCGAATACGAAAACTTCAGGGATCGTGAAATAAATATTTTATTGTAATAATTGGACTACATGTTGCCACTAGGATTAAATGTTGCTAAATAATTCGAGGCAGAATTTGCCTCCTGTTGGGTATATTATTGGAGTAAACCCAGTGCCGCTTGGGAAGGACGACATACTACTATCATACATACTTGCAGAATTCTGGGTAGACGCTGAAGACATTTCTTCAATATGTTCAAATTCTTCGTGCGCTATTAATTCGGCTATTTTTAGTTTTATTCGGGCTTGACGCTTTAAGGGAAGTGTTTTCACAGTCTGTGCATGTGCCAAGAAAAGTGAATCAATGGCCTCGTTCTCTTTTTTAGGTTTTTTACCTTCAAAATAATTAATGAGCTGTTGTACAGCCGAAGATGGTGGTTCATAGCGTTTTCTGCTCGTTTTATATTTTGTGTAGTTGCAGTCTGCGGAAAGGTGTGCCCTGGAGTAGTCACTGCTGTAGTGTTCAATGAGAAGGTGGTGCTGTCTGTGTTGTCCGAGGCGTTCTGTGCATCTTTCTGCATCTACATCAGCATGTTCATCTTCTCCATGGCCGCGGTCTTCCAAATTTTCGGTTTCTACATTTCCAGCCCATTCCTGATATATATTTGAGTTAAATTCGGCAGTCTCATAATGTATGACGTCAATATCTTTCACATTAGGACCACGTTTTGGCAAATGCCAAAAAAGGACGGAAAAATTCCATGTATCAGCCCACTGCCATTTCTTTATGTTGCCCACTGCTTGGCCGGTCTTTGGTTTGGTAGATTTTATATATTTTGCAAATGTGTCTCTGATATTCTTCCACCTTTTTTTACTTCATCACCTAAAAACGATTTTTTTTATAGATTCCTTGCCACTGGTGACACCTTCTATACCATTGGGCATAGCTTTCGAGTTGGCTTTACAACAGTGAGTGCAATCGTAACCGAAGTCTGTGAAGCGATATGCAGACATATGGAACATATATATTTACCAGAACCAACAGAGAATATATGGAAAAAATGTGCTGAAGAATTTGAAAATAGATGGGGATTTCCCAATTGCATTGGCAGCGTGGACGGTAAACATGTAACAATCAAGGACCTAACAACAGTGGCTCAATTACTGGTGCTATTTACATAAATATTCAATAGTACTTATGGCCATTGTTGGCCCGGACTATAAATTTATATGTGTTGATATTGGTGGTTTCGGAAAAAATAGTGATGGGGGTATTTTCGAAACCTCAAACATGGGAAAACGATTTGAACAAAATTTAATGAGTGTCCCTGCACCTAGATTTCTCCCTGGGCAAAATGAAATCTGCTCGTACGTCTTAATTGGTGTGATGAAGCATTTGCTTTAAAACCATACCTTATGAGACCATTTTCCTTATAAGCAGACTTTAACAGACGTCAGAAAGAGAAATACAATGTAAGACTTGTCGAGCTAGAAGGGTCGGAAAATACGTTTGGTATTTTGTCTCAAAAATGGCGAATATTTTACAGGCCATTAGAAACTAAAGTAGATACTACTATTCTAATTGTACGTACGGCATGTGGTTTACACAATTTTTTACGAAGTAAAAAGTGGCGATGACAAATATTTTCAATTCTTAGATCCCCCAGAACCCGTGCTTGGAGCTTTTACTGATATAGCAAATGATCCTCGGCGGGCAGCAAGGCTAGCATTTTCTACTCGTGACAAATTCGTAAATTATTTTAATTCTGATATGCCTATGCCCAATATATAGAATGTTCGTTTTAACATTTGTGTAGACTGTAAATTATTTAACAAGCTAATAAAAATATTAGGTACATACCATTTGTATTTAATTCTTTTCCAATTTCCATCCAAATCTTGTCTTTCTTTCTCACATTCCTGTATTCATCGTTCGACAAATAATACAAACAAGGATACTTTTTCACTATTTCTATCATATAATTCCGTTTTTGCCATTGCGAATTTTTGAAGAACGGCGTCAAAAACGCGGTCAAAGGCGAACTGAAATACGCCGCGATAAAAACGCTGGACAATCGCATTCGCTTCGCACAAGTCTGAGCCTGTCCGTAAACCGCCGCGTTTTAATCTGATCGCGAATTCATCGCCGCGAAATTTCGCAGCCAAAGCGATATTTTCGCGCCGGTTTGTGGGATGCTTTAAATGACTTTATTGTTTTTCGAAGTATTCTCCACGAAGATTAATCGATCCTCGAACCAATTTTCGAGCACTCATTCGACTCGCTTGCTGGCAGATCCAAAACGGCATTTTTGAATGCGTCAACAAAGTAAAGAAATCGTTAGGACTTAGATCAGGACTAGATATATGGAGGATGGCCCAATAATTCCACGTTTTCTTCCGTTAAATACTGCCTTGTTTTTTGGGATGTGTGCGAGCTTGCGTTGTCTTGGTGGAGGATGATTCTTCTTTTGGGGTTGATTTTTCGAAGCTCGCTGATCATTTTGGCAAACAAATGGTGGTACATTAATCCGCAGTAACAGTTCTTTCTCATTAAGAAGAATTGTTGCAATATGACCAGCTTTTGACACAAATGTCGCGACCATTTTTTTTCGAAACACTTCGAGAACGGACGACTTTTGTTGGCTTTTCTTCACCTCGGAACACCCAAACAGCCGACTGTCGTATATTTCTGGTTCATAACAGTAAATCCACGATTAATCACCACTAACAATGCTGTACACATTTTTTGAGTTTCCGGAATTGAAACAGTCAAGCGTGTTTTGACACCAATTAACCCTGGCTGCTTTCTGCTCTTCAGTCAACAGGTGGGGTATCCAACGAGAAACTAATTTTCTTACTCCTAATTCTTCATGTAAAATTTTTGAATTGAGGTCTTTGAGATCTTCAAGGACGCCTCAATCTCGCGACATGTCACATGTCTATTTTCAATGATGAGTTTTATGACAAATTTCCACCACGGATTTATCGAAAATCGCTGACTAAAAGAAAAGAAACGCCGTCACACGTCAAAAGATTTGCCAAGTGGGACAACTTTTTGACCAAAAACTACTTCACACCCTTTCACCCGCGGTCTTCGTACAATTTGCTAAAATTCTCCAGTTCTTAAATTTTAAGTGCTTATAGCCGATATGATTGCTATTTTCATGTGATCGTCGTAACAGTGTAACGGTTTCACCGTCCGATCGTATTTATTAAATCACTTCTCGATTATCATTTTATCAATCCCATCTCTAGCTTTTTTACTTAGAAAAATTTCCGCTTGGAGCGCGCTTGATGCGGAGTTCCTGATCTGCGATCTTCCTCGCGCTTCCTTTTCACTTGAGCCGCCGATGTAACAAGAGCTAAGAATTTTGTTCTCTGTAGCATGAGGTCATATAGTGCCATGTGCTAGCGGTTTGTAGAATGTGTGTCCGAATAGGACAAAATGGTGAGTTTTATAATACCATACAGTTTTATTGCTGGATCTGCTTGTAGTTTATAGATAATCGATATTTAAGTGGTTTATTTCTTGTACGATTTTAAAATATCCATCGAACGTCATTTTCGACTACTTCGATCATTCGCCAAAACTTTAAACAAATCGAGGTAGAAATCGATCCACATCGATTTTACCTCTGTGTGCGTATATGTATTCATCATAGTTCAGTGAAATTATGAGTACGTTGATTATGAATATTCGATATTTGTGTTTTTATATCAGAAGCATGTGAAGAAATTTTTGATGACCACCATCTTGTTTTACGCTTTTTTTTTGCTATTTCATGATTTTATTTTATGAAAGGCATTTCCAATTTTCGGTTTGATTTTACCAATCTATGTAATGTAATTCTAACCTAGAAAATCGTTGGTTCTCTTTTGAGGCAGACTGAGATTGGAAATGCCTTGGCCATTAGGGCACGTTGCTAAAGCACACGGTTCTTTTTCAGATTAGGGCCACCTCCTTTCCTTTCCCTTTGCCTTTATCTTTCGCTTTTGCCTTTGTCTTTGACTTTGCTTTTGCCTTTGTCTTTGACTTTGCATTGCTTGGCCTATCACTTCACCCATGCATGTGCCTTGGCAGCGCCATCACCTTTAAGTTCAACTTCGCCTACAACTGGTTTCGAAGCCACTAAATGTGAGGTCACCCCCATAACTGGGACCTCCACTTCAAGCACCTGGCCATCCTCGCTTCAGTCCAGTCAAAAATGGGCCAGCGAAAGATAAGTGTATAGTTTTATAGCAGCGCCAAAGATTTAAAACTTATTTTGTTCTTTAAAATTTCAAATGTAATGAAAATGCTTTTTTGTTAAATAAAATCTGTTAAATTTTTGTGTTCTGTTTGTTCTTCTATCCTCTAGCCATGCCATGGTCGACACACAGCTACACGCCGTAGATGTCTTCATGCCACCAGACGAGCTGCCGGAAGCTAATGGTAACCCCCTTTCTGTGATTGTGCAGAAAGTTGGAATCTTCATTGCATTCCATCTTTTCTGGACTTTTTGCGGAAAGGAAGCGTTACAACCTCCGGAGTAAGTAACTCGACTTCGTTGATACGTGCGCACCGGTCTATTACTAACAACGCTGACGCTTAAAATAGAACGGACAAAACTAATTTATCAGATGAGAAAATTGCAGTTCGCTAATTAAGTCGTAAATCAACCCATCACCGCTGTTTCCGAAAACATGTTAAAACTTTCGGATGAGTTCAAAGTTACTTACGATGATTCGAACGCACACATAGGTTACGTTCAAAAACATTAAAAAGAATCAGATTTTGATTCGTTACTATGAATTTTTAAATGCTGCGCAGGCGACGGGCTTCTTTACTGTCAACGCCAAAGGCCGATGAAGAAGAAACGATAGCATATGTTTTTTGATTTCTGGAACTGAACTAACAAATATATTTTATAATTTCCCACTGCTGATTTATTATGTTTCGTCGTTGCTTTAGTGCTGCTCTTTAGAACGCAATTTTGTTTTTAACAAAATTGCCCGTTTAAGTATTATAAGAACGTTTCTTAGAGCCAAAATTACAAAATAGTTTTAAGACAAATTTCAATACCGTTTTGACACAACAATTTTATGAGATATTTCAGATTACTTGGCAAATTTAAGAAATGTTTGATTTTTTGAATTAAGTTCATGTTTTGATTACTATTGTTGATTTTTTATTCATGTTTATATTATTTTTCTTCAATTGATATTGTGATACTGGGTGTTTTTTCCTATAAACCTCTTGCAGATAGCCATTAAGCACCAACTTGAAGACAGGCTCTACCAAAAGATATTGCTCGTTTCCAAACATTCATTCATTTAATTGCCGTTCATCAGAACCATTATGGCACCTTAGATTGATATTCCCACAAAACCATTCAGATTTTTTGATATCCACACATCCATAAAGTTGAATATTTTTCGTTGTTCAGAAACTGAACAAGCATCCACACACGATTAAGAAATTCCCAATATATGCCTTAAAGCTACCAGCAAACCTAAAACCTGCAAAAAAACCTACAACCTAAATCTGTGTTGTAGGATGGAGAGGTCATAATGTTTTTATTGCTTTGAAGAAATTCATTAATCCATAAATGAATAAATGATTACTGTTATGACGTAAAGGAAGATGAGGAATTGGATGGAATGTATTTATATTCTATTTTCTTACAAAATACAGACAAATCCACACTATTCAACAGGTATGTAATGATAACTTTCAGTATATTGAAGATGGTAAATTCGATAGTGCCATGCATCAAACAAGCGTCCAAATCCGCTGCCAAATTTAACAGCTACAAAATCGACCTATTATTTGCCGCATTCCCATTCGCTGAGAGGGATAACGGATTGTTACATGTAAACCTATAACATATATCAAAATACATGAAGGTTGTCCTGTTTTTTCTGTACACATGTTGGAATCAAAAAAGTGGTCTTGTTTATACTACAGTCGAATTTTCACGATTTTATTGAATATTTCAATAGAAACCACTAATATTCAGAGACCTTTGACAGCTTCTGTCAAATTGCACTTCGATAAGGTATTTCCCCATTCATCTATAATATTAATGCTGGTGAAATCGGCCCTTATACTGGTAATATCCAATACGAGTTTATTCGTTTGCAGTCATCAATAAAATTGTTTTATTATCGCTATGCGGAACATTTAAACTGGTTTATTAATATTTAATTTAACGCTAAAAGTAGTGTAAAAACTTATCGAGTAACCACGACTCTGCTAAGCCGCTGAGAAATTTCACTCACCTTCAAAGCTTCTTCATGTGATATCCCAGTGAAGGGGGTACCGTTGACCTCCAATATAGAATCTCCTGGTCTCAGACCAGCTCTTTCCGCAACGCTACCCTCCTCTATTCGAGAAATGTATACGCCTACTCCTGAAACAAATATCATCCTAAATATATTGTCCAAGGTAACCTCATGTACGGATTCGATAGTATTTATTAGAAATGGTGAATGTGCCCCGGCAAATAAACGTTTATTTTAGTAAATGGTGAGAGTGCTTCTTGTAACGCTGAATACTCGACAACCATACATTTCAGGGAAGAATAAAAGGTTCAAAGTAATCGAAACGCAAATTAGTCAACATTAGCAAAGGACTTATCAAGGTCATTTGAACAAAACTCACTTTTAACACGCCCGATTTGTCTCATTTGGCAGCGAAAAATATCGGCTGTAGGCACCTTGCACTGTTAACTTAATCTCAAATGAGAGAACGTATAGAAATTACGAGTATAAAAGTCGCTACTTACTTAATTGAACTCTATTCCTAATTCCATCGACGTTCATAGAATTACGAAAACCTCAACTTTTTCCTTTAGCGATCCTCGAGCTATTAATTAAACGTCAATTTAATAATATCAGCAATCTTACTCGGTGTTCTTATAATTTCTGAGTATACATGCATTTTACCATGCCAGACCAAATATTTAATGAAAATCTATGTTCTATGTATCTGCTGCCCAAAAATGGTTGTTCTGCAAATTGTGCACTCCATTTCGTGAAAATGTGGCGTCGTCTGTACACAAAATTAATTTCGTAAAATCTTCATTTCTGACGAACTAGAACAGTTTGAACTATTCTAAAAGCCACTGGCAAAATACATCTCTTCTAGGATGACGCGAATACGAAAATAAATCGTCTTTCAATATGCAACATTTGCAACCCCTGCGTCCTACAATCCCCAACCACCAATTTTCAAGTTAATGATTTTTGCAAATAATAAGGATCCTTTGAAGCGTTGAAAAAAAAGTTAAGCAACATCTGCTTTTTTAGCTTTTTTGGGGTCGTAGCTCCAATGTAACTGGATCGATTTCTAAAGCCACAAAGGTATTTCTTCCTTGTCAGGGCGTTTTTAATAATTGGCAGAAAGGAGTGACAGACAGGACAAACAGACAGACAGAGACAGACAAGACAGACAGGACAGACAGAGACAGGACAGAGACAGACAGAGACAGACAGAGACAGACAGAGACAGACAGAGAC